CCTTTCTTTGTTTTCCTTGTATTGAAGTCTTTTCCTCCTGTACACTTGTCACAATTATAATGGGTGATTATATTTAATATCCTTCTCCTACCATGGACTGTCAATCAGTGAAGGTGGGCCATGTCTGTCTGGTTCACAGCTCTTGACCCAAGCTCTGACATGTACCTCTCGAATCCCCAGAATATGTTACTAGCTAAAATCCAATTTCTGTCAGTGAATCTAATCTCCATGGAGAGGATGTGTGGGTTATGTTTAAGAGCTCCATTCCAATGCAGGTCAGAATCCTGGATCAGAAGCCTCAATCCTCTCTGTTACTATTTTTGGTTTGTTTGTTTGAGAGAAGTTACTGAAAATTTTCAGTAACTTTAAGCTTCCATTTCTTTGTTTTTAAAACGAGGATTATAACAGTATCTGATCCATGGGGTAATTGTGAGAACTAAATGTCATGATGCATGTAGTATGTCTACTGCAATAATAAGTACTCAATATTTTCTATCACATAGTAAATAATAAAGATATCACATGATAATCCCACATGTAGCTATCGGTTATCATTATTACAATTGGATTTCCACTTCTTGAATCGCAAAATCCGATTTCTCTTAATTCTGCTCCAGTGCTTTTGAGGGGCCTTTCTTATGAATGATTTAGCAATTTACATAGAATTGACCGAATGCTGGATTTTTAAAAAATTATTATTATTTCTACTTGATTCAGGTTCTTGTGTAATCGCGTTCGTTGGAACAACTATTATTCTTCAAAAACGAAAATGGATTTGAAGGAGTATTTATATTGATTTATTGTTGGTTGTTTGTTGAAATGTAAATAGCCCTGAATGTGCCACTCACTGGGAAAGGACAGTGCTTTTCATAACGAACAAAATCGCCTTGTTTCACTTTAATAACCTGCTTGTGGTCAAACCCGTCATGGGATTCCTTAAACACTGAAGAATGCCTGCTATTGTCATTTGCATGTCAATGAACAGACGTTCTCTGCTCCTCGCTGTCTATTACACAGCACTGCCGGTTTCCTAACTTGGGGACTGCTCTGTTTAGATGTGAAATGCACATGTCTACCTCTTTCAAACACACAGCGTGTCCCAAGCACAGGCAACAGCTGCTGAGGCGGTTCTCCCACTTCTCTATTGTGTTTTTGTGGAAGTTGTAAGGGTGAGAAATAGGTTGCCCACCCCGAAATGATATGGGCATATATGTATGTCTTTCTTTCATAGCTGTATGCTGTGAACAATCATTTTGAGTTTCAAATTGGATTTATGTAAGAATAAAAATAGAGCATGGGATTACCCAGGAAATCCAGACTTTAAAATTCCAAAGAAAACAACCTAGAACTTATTCCTCCACTTATCATCCCATTTCTGCCAATACCTTTTCCCAGAGTTGGAAATGGTCTTTCTGTTTGACTGACTTGGAAAGAAATGGCATGTTATCTCTCCCGGAAGGGCCACTGAGGGAATTGAGGTTGAATGCAGAGTTTTGTGATTCTAGACGGATGCCCAGAGCAGCACAGAAAGTGGGGACTGCAAATTGAATGATGATCATCTCTAGCCTTCCTTGTCCAGTTCTAGCATAATGCCTTTAATCATGGTTTTAAGAGACCTTAATTGCCACTGCAGCATTTAATAGCAGTTTCACCAGAGTCACAATATGGACATGGATTTAGTATTCAGAGAGGCTTAGTGGGAATAGGAAGCTAAAGACCCCATCTCCCAACCCTCTCAGGCTAGTTATTGTGTTCCATCCTATGAAAACACTAATTTTGGTAAATACCTGTATGTCCCCAGATTTTTGTTGTTGTTCAATTGAAAATTGATTATCACCAGGCCTGGTGGCACATCCCTTATAACCCTAGTGGCTCCAGAGGATTCACCGTAGGAGGATGGTAAGTTCAAAGCCAGCCTCAACAACTTATCGAGGCCCTAAGCAACTTAGAGAGACCCTGTCTCTAAATAAAACATAAAAAGGGCTGGAGATGTGGCTCAATGGTTTTACGCTCCTGGGTTCAATCCCTGGTACTAAACAACAACAAATAAGATAAAAAAGAAAATTGATTATCAATATTGTACTCATTCTTAGAAAAAATCAAGAACTCACATTCACACACAGGAAATAGCAATGATCATAGATGTTTTCTGCCTGGGACTGTTCTAGATTCCATCTGGGAATTAAGTCGGCTAACTCTCTTCCACAACCATACAATGAGAGACATAATATTATTATCCAATTTTTCTGTTGAGCCGCTGAGGCAAAGAGCCGTCCAATGACTTGCCCATGGCAGAAGTGTGTATGTGAAAAGCACCGTCTGTCTCTGCTATGGACTTGTGATACTAACCAGAGGCAGCAGCTGCTAAGGCAGTTAACCAGCTTCCCTACTGTGATTTGTGGAAATTATAATGGAAAGAAATAAGTGGCCTGCCCCCACTATCTTGCTATACAGATTCAAGTAAATGGTGAAGCTATTAATGAAAATATTAATAACCCCTATTAATTGAGTGCTTCCTAAATTCCACCACCACTTTTCTATGGGCTTTCTGTGTAGAGAGGATCCCCAACTTGACAATGGCTTGACTTAATGATTTTTTTGACTTTCATATAGTATACAAGTGATATGCACTCAATAGAAACTATAGTTTATATTTTGAATTTTAATCTTTTCCCAAGCTAGTGCCATGGTGTGACATTCTCTGATAGCTGGACATGGCAGTGAGCTCATACCCAGGTGATCACAAGAGTGAGCAACTGGTCATTTGCAGTGTCCTGAGTTGCCAGTGTTTTCTGGATACAAGTATTCAATAAATTTCATGAGATATTCAGCACTTTATTATAAAACAGCCTTTGTCTTGGGCACAATGGCAAATGCTTGCAATCACAGCTACTCAGGAGTTTGGGGCCAGAGGATAGTTCAAGCCCAAGAGTTCAAGGACAGCATGGGCAATGAAGTGAGACCTGGATCAATAAAACATATAATAAAATAAACAATCAGACACTATATATAAGTAAAATTAGGCTTTGTTGTTAAATGGTTGTACACAACTGCTAGCTAATGTCAGTGTTCTGGGCATGTTTATGTTGGGCTAGGCTGAGCCATGATGTTTGGTAGGTTAGGTGTGTGAAACGAACTTTGACTTATGATCTTTTCAATTTATGGTGAATCTATTGGAAAGTAAGTTGAGGAGCATCTGCATTAGTCCTTACAAAAGGCTAAAGAGAGTTATTTTTATGCTTCTTTTGGGGGTGATGGTTTCTAAGGCAGACAGAGGTAACGCTGAGCCCTGTCTCATTTCTAGAAAATAAGAGAGCAGGGATTTGAACTCCTGAACTTGTGTGATCACCACTAATCGGTAGCTCCTCTAGATGGGAAAACTCTTCCTCCAGGCCTCTGGGAGAATGGCGTGGGCCCCCACACTGTGCTGGCTGCCAAGGGCACGAGCTAACCTATTGGGTTTCTTCTTCTTCTGCCAAACCTCAGGATCTTTCCTGAGATCCCTTCCCTCCATCCCACACAGGCTCCCCGTGTTCCAATTTCTTTAAGAGCTGACTTGGGCTTGTTGGCAGCTGGCCAACTGAGAACCTACTTCACAACAACATGGAGTGGGAGCAAATGAGTTAATATGTTCCAGATACTTACATATTTTTGGCATAGAATCTAACCAATATAATCACAGCTTATTATCTTTCACAGGCCACAATCATTCTTTTATTCGTTCAATAAACATTGAATGACTGTGATGGCCTGGGCACTGTGCTAGGCCGACATTAGTATTTGCGATGGAGTGTTTTGGAAATGCAATGCCCCATTCATCCGAGGGGCTTTAATGATGGAAGCCTTTGGCACTCTGGCAAGCAGGCTTTTTGGCTCTTCTCAAGTCTCATTAATTCAATGGCCATTGACTGCTTATCTGAACGGCTGGTCTCACTGGCACCACCTTTGAAAAAAAGTGGTAGGATTTGATTCCATTGTCAAAGAAGGGAAGAAAATGACTTGTCTGGGGTTAGATGACTGCCCCCACCACCCCCAATTCTACAGGATGGCATTTTTCTGGCCAAGAAAACAAAATTTATAAAATGAGACATAACTGATAGGAAATTCTTCTTCAAAAGAGAATTTTCCATTTGCCTCTATGATGAAATCAGGACAATGCTCTTGTCATTTTTTTTTTCCTTTTTTTCTAGTTGGTTTGTTTCAATGACGGTTTTTTTTTTTCTTTTGTCTACTTCTAGCCCATTAGGAAGCCTGCTTCTTTGGACAGGACCTGCCCCTGCATACAGCATTGTTTAGTTTTAGCTTCTTAATCTTGTCTCTGAATCTCATACAGGACGTCTGGGTTTTGCTAGTGCTTTTCTTTGTGGAGAGTCCTTTCTGACTCCAAAACAACCAATTTTGAAGCCATGAACATTTCGGGGACTCGGAGCTGCAAAATACACAACACACAGTGTTTTGAGATCTAATGAAGACTCTGTCAGGCCTGATTTGGATCTTTTAATGAGGGTCTGATTGAATTTGCCATCTCCATAACAGTTGTGAGTCTTTGGGGCCAGTAAATGAGTTCCTTCCCTGTTCTGCACAGGAGCACCGATGGCCCTGAGTTGTCAGCGCCAACACTGGTGTGTCACAAGTTGTCAGGGGTCACACATTTGGTGGATGACTTACTAGGTCATCTCAGATAAGCCCATTGAATCTTTCTGTGTTTTGGTTTTTCCGTCTGAGAACACAGGATTACACACACTGGGCTTCTCAGGAAAGTGCTCTGAGGAAGGACAGAGGTGTGCTGCTTAAGGGGCTTTTGTAAAAGAGCTTTGCCTCACTTCTCATTAGAAAGAGTGTCATCTTGAGGTGGTTTAGCAACTTTTTGGCAGGATAGTCCGAGGAAAAGGACTTGCTGAAGAAACATCAGAGCCAAAGGAAGGGAGGGTCCTTCCTGGTATTTCCTATATTTCCTAGTGGACTTCTCCAAGGGCTCATGGCTACTGTTATTTCTCTAGGAAAACCTGAAGTTGGGAGGACACCTTTTGTGAGTCCCAAATCATCAGTGATCAACAACCTCTTGGTGGTTTGGTTCTTTCGCTCCGAGGGGACTTCAGTGTCGAAGGTGGCCTTGTAGCTGCTTGTCACACAGAACACATAAACAATGGTCCCCGTGTTGCCAGTCCTTGGAGTTCTGGAGGTCAGTACACTCTGGTTTTGTCCTTCTATGTTATGATCCAGATTGCCTTAGATCTCCCAGAGCAGATATGCTTTGTAAACAAAATCAGCATTTACTTTGGGGTGATTAAAACTGTTCCAGTAAATTCCTTAATAAGAACCCTGTGTGGAAATACCTGAAGTCAGAGAATGGTGTTTCTTCCATTAACCTGCAGTTCCTGTATTTCCAAACACTAGTTGAAAACTTTTCGTGGATGTAAGTGAAACTTAGTGGAACCCTTTATTTCCCATTACTATTTTGCTTACCTATTCTTCCCCACCCCTTTGAAACTACCAGAGTGAGGCCTGTTCCTTCATCTGCGTGAACTTCCCACTGGCAACCCCCACAATTCTGAAAATCATTCTGTTTCCTCAAAGGGAATCATCAGATCTCAGTGTGTGATCACTGCGTGGTGGTGTGCTGTTCTTCTCTGCCTGGGCATGCCCACGTTTCCTTACAGAAATGTAAACAGAGGTGCTGCAGTTTTGCCCCAGAGCTGAGGGTGGGACTTTGTATCAGTAACATCCCCAAAGGGAGTCAGGAAACATTGCTCCTCCCCCTGATGGATTTGCAGGAGGAGGGGCTCTCACTGTTCTTTTGGTGAGAGAACAATGTGGCCTCTTTGGGGGTAAAATGCCACCTAGTAAGAGCTGTGACAATTTTTCAGTGTCTGTTACTCCACCCTTTAGAAATTGCCAGCAATGTCTAAATGGGGAAATAGTTATGTGGTTAGAGCTTTAAATCAACAGTTAGGTTTATAGTGTAGTGTTTATACCAGCTCAGAACCCGAATGGATCTAAACACCCAGTAAGAAGAATCTGATAAAATGAATCATGAGGTCCATCTTCTGTCTCTCTCCTTTTCAGATAGATATCTATTTCTACCATTTAAAATGAGGATGTAAAAACAGTGGCTTTTAAAAACAAATTTGTATTAGAGATACCTTTGAAAAGCTTAGTGAAAGCTAGAAGCCCTCCCCCCAGAAAAAATATTCATATGGTCAGCATTTTCATATCATATCAGGAAATTTCAACAAATACTTGTCCGTCACTAGAAGGTTAAGGATTCTGAACATATAGAACTGAGATAAATCATATTTAATAATTTGGATGTATGGAGTAGTGGCACAAGCAGGTTACAAAAGAGTATAATCCTGTCTTTGTGAAAAAAAATAAACCCCACTAAATATGTAAAGAGAAAGCTTTGAAAGGCAGACTGTGAAGAGGTTAGCAAGGGCTTCTCTGGGCTGATATTATCCTTTCTTTTCTCTTCTGCCCTCCATTGTTCTTTCATTTCTTTGTTCTCTTCTTCTTTTATTTTTTCCCTCCCTTTATTTTTTGCTTATTTATATCTTCTAACCTTTCTACAATTAATATAAAACTGCTTTGGTAAGAAGAAATATGTCAGACAAGTTTGTTTGGATTTCTTTTGAAAAAGAGCTGTCCTCCCTCTGGCCAGTGGTTAGAAAACCTGGGGACATTTTTAGCTCCTTTTTTTATTCAATAAGTGATGAAATTCGAGGAGAAAGGGACATTAGAATGAAGGACCACTATTTTGGAGTGAGATTTAATTAGGACCATATGAAAGGAAACAGTTTGATGGGCTTCTCTTTAACATGAAGTACAGAAAAAAAAAAAACACAAGAAAAACTCAAAATGAATCAGAACAAATTCATACATGTCAAAACCACACACAGTGACCAAGAAAAGCTTTTCTATGGATGGCCTTTTGGCTTGACATCAAGAAGAGCTGCATTTCCCTTCCCCAAAGTCCTCTGGGGTATCTACTGCAGCTTGATGCCTTGGGGGATGATGAGTCAGAGGTCTATTCCCATAGTTCCTATTTCTTTTGCCTTAGAAGGGGTCTGGGAGAAGTCTTTCCATTTTTGAAGACCTTGTTCCATCAACTGGAAGGTGAAATTGGTACTTTCTCTGCAAGTGCTTAAGAACAGAGAAGTTAATTTTTGGACCTTTACTCAGTACTCACACCTACTTTCTTGAGTGATAGGGTGACTTCATCTCCCTTTGGGAGACTCTCATCTCACACTCTGAATTGCTGTGGCCTGAGTGGGGCTGGCATCGTTCTCCATCCAGTCTCAGGATGACACACGACTCAAGCTTGGTCAGTTAGGGATGCCCCTCTCTCTCTGTCTCTTTCCCTCTGTCTCTGCCACAATGTCGGGCTCAGAGATGGGTCTATTGACCCATTAGTGAGATACAAAGAGAACTTTTGATAGAGCCAGGGTTTCTCAGCTGGGAGAATATAAGCCTAGAATTGTTCAGGAACCTGCAGAAGAATGAAGGCCAAACAGCCCAGCAGAGCCACGTGAAGGAAGAAGGTGGGGTGAATATCAAGTTCTGGGACTTCCTTTGGGCCCAAGATCTACATGTGCCTAAATCAAACTTGGCAATCATTTCCATTTTTTTTTAAGCCATTTTGAGTTAAGTTTGTTTCCCTTACGACCAACTGGGTTCTGATTAATATGTTTATTTAATAATAAAAATAACAATTGAGTTCTTCTCAAGTGACAGACACTGTAAATCCTTGCCATGCATTTTCAGTCAGTTCTCCCATAAGTGAATTAAAGGAAACAGGTTCAGAAAGGTTAAGTCACATGCATGAGATCCCTCCAACAATAGTCGTAGATCCAGATGCAAACCCAGATATGTCTGATTCTAAAATTCCATCTCAACCAGCATGGTATCAGCTCAGCAGTGACCCGTGATCAAAGTCAGGCCCAACAGCTGGTGGACTGCACAGTGGGATCATTTGTTTTTTAACTGCTATTTACAGAGGGGTGCACTCAGGCTCACAAATGAGCACCTACTGAGCATGTGCAATATTAGGGGTCAAACTCTTCAACTTCAGTTTCCTTATCAGTGCCTCCTTTTGTTATCTTGTTTTGCTTTCTGAGTACCAGAACAAGGTTCAACAGAAGAATCCCACCTGACTTCTGTGTCTTCATTTTGCAGCCTAAGAGTGGGTGAAATGTCTGACACACACCCTACAAGTGCTTCAACCACAAAAGAGCAGAGCTGGGGTTCTATAAATCCAGAGTGGGCTTTCTTTCCATTAATAAAATGAAAATAAGGAGGTCTGTCATTTCGGCACTGTTCTTCTCTAGGGTAAGGTTTGCTTACATTTTATAGAACACAAGAGTTTTCTCTTGAAAATGAAAGAAAACAGGTAAGCATTAGCCTGGGAAATATGATTTTGAGTCTACCTCGGAGGTTTGTGCTGTACTCATAACATCCTGTTCTTCTCAACTGGTTGTGATGTGGTTGATAGCAGCCCCTGCCCAGGGTGTGAACAGCTGAGCTCAGTTTTCATAGAGATGTTGATGGTAAGAAGGAGGAAATGAGCCACTTCTCCCTGCCCCTTTGTCACTCTGACAGTTAAGGATGGGTACAGCCAGGTGCTTTGATAGTGCACTTTCTATTTTACCTAAAATTAGGTCTTTCATTCCTTTGGGATATTTAGTAAACTAAGATTTTACTGGGAACCCCAAAAGTATTAGTAAATAGAAAAACTACAAAAAAAAATTAAAAAGGAAAGAAAAGAAATCATGTGGTTATCAAAGGAGGAAGCTGCTGATCTGTTGAACCTTGCTCCTGTAGAGTCAGGGAAAGAAGAGTGGCTATTGGGGAAAGATGGGGGTTGTGGGGGGGAGGGGAAGCCTGATACTGAGAAAAAAGTAAGTATAAGTGAAGCCATTTACCTTCCTAGACAATGAGATTTCAGACTGCTGACCTACTCCCTAAATGGTTTTTTGGTACAATATGTTTATTTAAGCTTTTAAGTGGACTTGTGTCTAACTACATCTATTGCAAGGATGTAAATGTAATAAAGAATAACATCTCACTTCTGTGGTCAGGGAGCTGACCTACAATTAGCTCACAAGTAGAATAGGATTGACTTCTGCAGATCACATAAAAAAGACAACGTTTCCCTTCTGTCTTCTCTATCGAGTCACAGAGTCACTGCTTGGCCATCCAGGAGCTGGGCAAAACAGCAGGGTGTGTCTTTTGATGGTTTCTGTTAGAGAGCACAATGGATGTACAGTGATTGTGTTTCTCATCAGGTAGTTCCAAACCTTGCCTCATCACTGCAAGAAAGTGCTTTTTAAATGCTTTCTAAAAAAGTTCAAGGGAAGTTCAAGAAAATGCTTTAAGAAGAATAGAGAGATCTTTCGTCAAACTGATACCTACTGAATGGAAATACATCAGAACAAGGTCCGGCCATCTATAATTTTATGGAGGTGAATCTTATAATGAACTGGGGAGACACTGTTCTAGTCTTCCCTCACTGGGATAGATAAACTCATCAGATTATCAGCTTTCGCCACTCATTCATTGAAATCTGGAGACATGACTCCTGGGCAGGCCAGTTCTGTCTTCTGTTAGGGGCCCAGGTAGGAGGTAGAAGTTCAAGATTAGAAGAAAATGAGGGTAGTGAAATGACAGCTGATGCGAATAGTCACATGTCCATTGATTCATTCAATCATTTAATTAACTGCCATTAATTGAGCAAAAACCAATATTTGTCAAGCACGGTGCCAGGTGGTGGGAAACAAATTTACCTTAGGGACAGTCACAGTTCCATGGGCACATTAAAAAAAAAAAAAATCATACAGAGAGGGAATGATCAGCTCTCTCTGGATGGGAGGAGAAGATGTGATAGGAAATCATAGAACAGGTAACACCTGAACAAGGCGTTGAAGAATGAAAGGGAGATGATTTGCCTGGGAAATAGGCATAATCTTTGACTGAGGCAATAGCTTGAACAAGGACACAGAATGGCCTGGTGGGTCTAAACAAGTCTCTGCAATTTACTAGTACAGTGTGAGAGGAAAAAGTGGTGGGCTGTGATTTGGTGATTTGGCAGCATGCACACCATGCAGGGTCTTGGATGCCTGTTTTGATTTTAGGGGAAAGCACTTGGCACAACTCAGAGACCTGAACTCATAAACAGGGAGCAGAAGAAAACAGAGGTTGCTGTTAAAGACACAGGTGAGTAGGAGCAAACTCTGGCTTTCATTATGCCCATACCTTGGGATTGGGGTTGTAGGAGTTTACCTCTAAAATATGCTCCATATAATAATATGGCAACTCATGACTTTTAGGGAATTGCTTTGCTTTTTTCCTAAGCTGCAGAATATGCTTTAAAAAGAGAAAAGAGAAAAGAAAAGAAAACCACTTCGAGCTTCAATTTTAAAATGCCTTAATTTGAGAGACCATTAGTCATGAAGGTGTTTCCATAGCAAATGTGTGTGGGATGTCCTAGCTTTGTTGGCAATGGTTCAAGGGAATTTATATCATTAAATTGGGACAAGGCCTGGCATGATGGCTAGAAAATTCATGGCACTGTTCCCATAGCACGAGGCCTCCATTTAAGGGCAAGATAAAGGAAAGGCAAAGAGCAAGAGGAGAAATGCTGGAATGAAAACAAGTAACAAAGGAAAGATAAAAATGGAAATCACAGTTCAGTGTGAATAATAGGAATGCAAATGGTGCCACTAAAATAGGAAGGAACATTACTTTTCAAAAAGGCAAAGCAAAGGAAAATTGTAGTAGCAAAAGCATTTTGCATGGTAAAATTGTACACTGTGTATGCCTCTCAGAAGCAAAGCCACCTACTCTAATTTTTCCCAGCACGATGCCGTGATGCTGTGAACTTGGTGAGTCATTTTATGAAGATTTACTACAAAGCCCCAATCTGCATATTTTTTTTGTAATACATTTCGATTAAATCTTTCTTTCTTTTTTTTTTTTTTCCCCAGCAGTAGCCCAAACAGCCCATTTTATGGCCAAAATTTCTCATCTGGGCTGGGATGTAATGCACTTTAAAAAAAAAAAATCAGTAAGTTTATGAAATGATCCCTACGGCTTTTTATTGAGTTAAAAAATTTTGTGGGGAGAAGTGTCTATAGTATGCTAGCCTTTAAGGAAAAGTAATCTGAATATAAATTTGCTTACATTAAAAAAAATCACAGAAAATGTTTATTCATGGGAGAGTGAGGAAATGGAATGGAAGAGATAGAAGCTAGATGCATCTGAATATATTTTGTTTTTGTTTTTATTTCAAAAGCATATAAGTGTTTAATATGATTATAAAAAATTAATCATAAAATGAAGCAATTTTTTTAATTTGAAAGGAAAATGATATAAATAAAACCAAATCTCAAATGAGTGGCTTAATCTCATGCAGAAATTATTTCAAGTGACGCAGTCTATAGATATACCCTAAGAAAAATGGATAATTCACTGTTGGTGGGAATGTAAATTAGTATAGCTAGTATGGAAAACAGTTTGGAGGTTCCTCAAAACACTAGACATAGAAATACTATTTGATCCGGCAATCCCATTGCTGAGGTTATAGCCAAATGAAAGAAAATCAGCCTGTCAAAGAGATATTTGTATCCCCATGTCTATTATTATTCTTAGCAGCCAGAAAATGGAATCAGCCTAAATGATGTGGATGAAGGATAAAGAATATGGCATATGTACCCAATGGTGTATTACTCAGCCATAAAAAGAATGAAATCTTGTCATTTGTGACGACATGGTTAAAGCCTGGGGGACGTTATGTTAGTTGAAGTAGTCCAGCACAGAATGGCAAACATTCTTTGTTCTCATTCATATGTGGAAGCTTATCAGCAAATTGATTTCAAAGAAGCAAAGTGTAGAACTGAGGTTATCAAAGGTTGGGAAGGGTGGGGTGGTGGTGGGATAAGGAGAGATTGACTAATGGTACAAAATTATATCCATAGAAGACAAATTTTAAGTTCTAGTTTTCCGTAACACAGCAGGGTGACTATAGTTAGTGATAATTTATTATATATCCTAAAATAGAAGAGAGAATTTTAAATGTTAGCACCACAAGGAAGTGATAAATATCTAAGGTGATGGATATGCTAATTATCCTGATTTGAATATCACTTATTATTGAAATATCACACTGTACACCATAAAATGTACAATTAGTGTGTACAATTAAAAAGAAATCAAGCTGTTTTCTTAATATTATTGTTGGTGATAATATTGTGTTTGTTTACTTCCTTTCCTCCCTTTCATCATTTTTTTTCTTCCTTAAAGATAGAAAAATTTGGCCATCAATAAAATAGTACCTGCAATAAATTGAAACACATCAAGTATATTTAAACCTATAGAGATATTAAGACATGTGTGTAGGTGCATCTCAAAAGCCAAAGACCATTGGTCATCTTTGGAGGGTGTTGGATAAATAACTCACAAATTTGAGAACTAGCAAATGAAGGGAAAACATTGAAAATGTTGTTTTTTTTCTGTATATACTATATCACTGGGTAACCAAATAGAAAATAATTTGATTTGAATCAGAAAAATGAAGCAAAATTTGTGGATAATTAAAGGAATGTTAACAATGATTGAATAGTTAGCAATACTTTGTACTTACTGTTAATTATCTTTATTTTTGATAATTAATTGTGATGATATATAAGAAAATATTCTTATCTTTGAAATATGTATATGGGGGTGGTATACACTAAGCAATGTGATATCTTGAGTTTGCTTTAAAATAACTTAGTGATATTGAGGGGAGGGGTATTAGGTGAGGGTATATATAAAACAGAATTGACCAGAGGTTTATAATTATTGAAGGTGATGCATGGCATTTATGATCCTATTATTTCATTTTTTGCATATATTCGAATTTTTCACTTAAACAGCTTCAAATAGATTAATTGCTTTGCTCATCTTTCTGGCCCTATAACCTGATAATCCTGCTTTCCAGTGTATTTTTATGTTCATGTGGGCAAGTATTCAATAAATGTGTGGAGACCAGTGTTCTGTTGTTGTTGACAGAGTCTCTGTAGCATTATTCAATGTTCTCATTCTGGATGATTGGACCAGTAGAGAAATTGATTCTCAGCACTATTCAAGCCAGTTAGTAGGTAGGTAACTCCTTGTGGGCAGTCATGAACTTTCAGACATCTGTGGTCTGGAGTACTTTTTTGAATTACAGAAAGCGTTGCTTCTCAACCCAACTGCTCCCAAATTGGCATGATATAGCCTCGTGACTGATTTAATTAACTGCAGAGAGACTCAGTCATTAATTATTTTACCAGAAAGCAGTTGAGCTTATGATTACCTTTGTTTCTTTATCAGCCAAACTCATGTTTCAGTACATCGAGTTAGGTCACTTGGGGGTATTTGCTGTCATTCTGAAGGCTTTAATCTGTACAATCCTTCAATTATGATACGTTTTCTTATATGAATTCATTGGTAGCTCCTGCCAGGTTTATTTCTTCTGAAAGAATAATTCTCATCTCTGATCTCCTGAACTGATCCTGAATTGTCCTCCCCCCACTTATGATTGCTTTCCCCCTCTATTATTCTCTTCTAACTCCTGTGCAGTTTCTACACAGGAAATTGTGCTTTTAATTCTGTTTATTTAATTTCTTTTGTTTCTGCAGACAGAAAGAATTCTTCATTTTATTTCTGGTGGTTTCTTTAAAAAAGAGAGAGAGAGAATCATATTGTTTGTCACTTATTTCATGGATAAAATATCTTCCAATGTTTATCTCCCAGTGTCATTTCTTAAAAGTTTTCTTCTGCTCTCTGCATTATCTCTGTTTCTGTAGTTTTGTGTATTCATTGTTGTTGTTATTGCTACTATTTTTGTCTTTGCTTCTCATATTTGCTAATCCTTGGTTGGCTATTCACATCTAAGAATGATGCTCTAAATAGCTGTTGATTGCTGTGTGCATTGAGGCTGAGTCTTATTGACTGCTGAACTCCTTAGTAACCAGAGTAGACAGAGTTTTTTTTTTTTTTTTTTTTTTTATAACTGAGGGTCCCCAAGGGTGACATTTAAACATATTGAACGTCTTATATGGTCTAGGTGTCATTCAGTCAGAGGAGACATCCAGCCAGTCAGGATGCATTAACCATAAAGGGCTCATATAAGAATACTGTATATATAGGCTGAATTCAACCCTATAAGTAGGGTTTTCCTTTGGGCCTAATGGTTTCCTTAGAGAGGACTTTTTCAGACTCCTGTCTTGGTGAAATAGAAATAATAATCCTGCTGCTGAGGTTGGAGGGATCCCAGAATTTTAATGCAGTCTTTCATTGAATCTGCTCTGTTCCTTGTCCCTGAAACATAGAACTTTTGTGATTCAATGTTTTCAGAATCTTTTTTTCTGGTCTTCTTCAGGTAGGTATGAAGTAATCACCTAGTTATTGGTATGGGGAAAATTTTGGGGTTCTTATGCCTTTCTCATTTTCAGAGATGAAACTCCAATTGATTCCAATCATTCTGGGTTTCTTTTGTGTAAATTGTCTTGCTTCCTGTTGTCAGTCCCAAACTATTAAATCAGTTACCACTTATCCAACCACTTTCTTCTCTTTTTCTGTCCTGTGTCTTGGTCTCCATCTTTCTCTTTTTATTTTACAAACCTCATTTGCTATCATTTCTTTTCAAATTCTCTTTGCTCTTATTGGTTTCAAACATCTGTTTGTTTATGTATATGTATGTGAGCGTGCTATGTGCATGTTTAATTTCCTTTAAAGTTTTTAGCAGTATTCTAAAAGGAAATAAAATAAATCTGTAAAGCTAATCCATTATGTTTAACTAGAAGTTTTATTTTAAATTTGTAAGATCTTTCTTCAAACATAATTAGTTTTTGACTGCAGAGTTCATCAGCATTTGTATGTTCCCAGAAAGCAAAATGAGAGTGATAAGTATTTTCATTTTCCTCTGCCTGACCACCTTCAAATTTGGGATCATTTGAAATTTTAATTTCAAATCATAATAAAAATAATAACTTTTACTAGTATGCACCAATGATTTGAAATGATTTAAACTGAACAATACACATTTAATTGTTTTTCTCTTGCCATGATTTCTTAAATCCCATATCATTCTTTTTCTGGCTTCTTAGTTGGAGGATGTATAAATGCTTGTACTCATTTGAATTGATTCAGATTATAGGAGCTTGTCTGCAATGACTGTGGGGACAGAACAGGACAGCCTAGCAGGAGGAGATGGAGCCTCTCACTGTCCTCCAGGGTATCATCACTAGGTCCCTGTGATAGTGAATGGCCCCCTCTCTTGGGTCTCAGAGCTGGCACTAATGTGCTTTAGCCTGTGGGCAATCTCTGTTCTCTGGGCTGGATGACCAGGCAGTTGCTCAAAATGCACTGCACGGATTAATCTCGGAGACAACTGTTCCTTCACATCCTTCTGCCAGAAGTTCCCATAATCCCCGTCATCTCCACACTGCTTCTCTCCTCAGAGTTTTTCTGTTGTCTTATTTTGCCAAGAACTTGATGCTCTCTGTTCTGTATCTTTTATGATGATCTCAACATCTTTGTTGTTGACATCACGATTTCTTCTTTGCCAGAGCTGTCTGAATGTGTTTAATATATTCAGTCATGTCAGAATAATTGGGACGGGAGAGAAAGTGTGTTCAGTCTGCTGTTTGTTCCTATTTGTATACACACACTCTCACACACGCACAGTATAATGTTCCTGTTAACCAACTTGTCTACTATTGTTTACTGTTTCAAAAAGAAAATTGACTTAGTTTTTCCGTCTTTTGATCTTATCATTTAAAAAAAATGTTTATCTTTCATTTTGCTTAGTATGATCCAACCTGAAATCCTTTATAACAAGCCTCAAATAAAACAACAACAGAATCTTAACTCTGATATTCACTTATTGCATATACTCTGTCAGGTGTCAAAGAATGCATCTGTAAAGACATGGCCACATAAAAGAGCCGAAAACTTTTGATCAAAGAAAGTCAGGTTGTCCAAAACAGTTTTCTTCCTAGGGGGTGTTTTTATTTTATTTATTTTATTAATTTTTTTAGAACAGTTTTCTGTAAATATACTAATCTTAAAAGGTCTATGTTCCTTCAGGGAGACTGATACTTGTTCTTCCCATATTTTTCATTGGTGATCACCCCGTTATCTGCAACTTTATTACTAAATTTATTTTTTGGCACTTTTATCCGTATAGAGAATAATTGATATTTTTTTTTTTTTAGAAAATTAGGTTTTCTATAAAATAGATTATTTTTAAAGAAGTATAGCTGTGCTGTTTAAATGTTATAGGTTGGCTGTGAGGTGTCCCCCAAAAGCTCATGTGTGAGACAATGCAAGAGGTTTAGAGGAGAAGTGATCCCTGATGGGATTAACTGAGTGGTTACTGAAGGTGGGAAGGGTGTGGCTGGAGGAGGTGGGCATTGGGGGGAATCCCTTTTGGGTATATATTTTTTATCTGGAGAGTGGAGTCTCTCTCTCTCTTCTTTCTGATCACCATGTGAGATGCTTCCCTCTGCCACACTCTTCTGCCACAATGTTTTTCCTCACCTGAAGCCCTGAGGAATGGAGCTGCCCTCTATGGACTGAGACCTCTGAAACCGTGAGCCCTCAAATAAACTTTTCCTTCTCTAAAATTGTTCTTGTCAGGTCACAGCAGCAAAAAACCTGACTAAAACACTAAGGTTTGCTGTTTTCATTTATTGGTGTCAAATTATTGCTTTCGTGACAGAATCCCACCTCTGAAATTATAATGATAAACCTAGGAACATAAGTTAATTTATAGAATTTCATTTCAGACACTCTGTGGTAGGGTTAGCATGATTGCATTGTTTGAAATGAATGCATGCCATGAAGCCTGGTGCACTTAAATGACTTGCTTCTTTCTTTCAAGAAACCGATTTAAAAGTTTAGTATCATTGCTTCTACAAATTCAGAAAGACTGATCAGTGCATAAACAACATTTGGTTAAGCAGAAAGATCTTCACATGTTTAAAATGTTCACGAGTGGAGGTCTATTTAATGGGAGCAGGTTTACACTAGCATTCCACGACCTAACTGATTCCTGGGCTCTTGGCAAGATGTTTTTCCTTTAATGTACATGATTTATGTTATAGTACACATATGATTCATGCATACTTCTAGACTTGGCATGGAGCCTGTTTTGCTGTGTATATTATTGTCTTACCAGATCTCTCTGTTCCTGGGACCTACACCAAGTCTTATTTAGATTATAGGGAAAATAAGGGCATTTTGCTGCTGTTACAAAATAATCCTTGCAAGTGTTTCAGTGTTTACATGAGATAACAGTCCTACAGAAAGAAATGCCAGTTATATCTTCACAGCTGTGTGGCACCACCCCCAGCAGCCAGAGAAGGTGGAGTAGGTTTCATAGCTCTTTCCTCCTGCCACACTTTAAACCATGTGACTCAAGCTAAGATGACACCAAATTTCAGGAGATATAAATGTGTTCTTAGAACATGGAATGAACATATTAAATTTCTGTCTTGCTTTTGAAGAAATTTACACTTAAAATTTATTTTTTCAGTTGTCTTTTTTCTTAATCAACTATAGCTGAGTTTATGCTATTTGAGTATATAAAATAAATTAAGTTGATAAAATAAACCTTAAATAACCACAGAACATACATGAATGTCACCTTGGAAAAAAATTTTCCTTGCCAAAAACTAAGTATAATAATACAATATTAGTCCTTGAAAGAGTTCTAGTCTGTTCCACTTAGGCTTTTATGTTTAAACACTAAACACTTTTTCATATAATATCAATCTCACAAGTACAAGCAAAGTATCTTGGGTAATTGTGCTTTGTCTAAAAGCTGTTTGTCAAGTTGAATTAACAAAGAACAGATTTTTCTTTCTGTTTGCTATATAGCACTAGTGGAAGATTTGATTACTGTATACCATCATGACCTGCATAATGACACTTTTATCAGCTTTGGACTGTGTATATGATGGTGGTCCCATGGATTACATTGCCAAGTGACATCATAGTTGTACAAGTTTGTGCACTTTATGATGTGGCATGACAAAATTCCATAGCAACACATTTTTCAGAATGTGTCCCTGTCATGAAGCAATGAGTAGTTGAAAACTTTTGCCTTCAAGATTTTTTTAAGTCATGTTCATGTGTGTGTATGTATGTGGGAGAGAGACATAGCGAGAGAATTTTAAAAGCAAACTACTATCTCTATGCCTTTGGTAAATTAGCACTCCTAAAAAAAAAAAAAAAAAAAAAAAAAGAACAGGCACCTTACAACTTGTCTTGGAAAGGGGAGCACAGAATCAGGAAATCTGAGTTCTCCTTCCACCACTGATGTGCCTCTGGGTGTGATGTTGAAGAAACATTTTCTGGGACTTGGCTTCCTGATCTTAAAATGAGAGAGAATAGGATTTTATTACAAAACGGCTTCCCAACTCTCAAATTTCACAATTCTCTGAAATAAAATGAGTTTTCTTAGTTCACTGATCCTTACAAAATAAAATGATAATGTTTAGTAGTCATAACCATTGGAATGATTTGTTATATCATTTTCTTCTCCAGAAGAAAGGCATGCGAATTGTAGTTTGTCCTACAGGACTCAGTCTACATTGAGAAATAATTTTTTTTTTCTTCTCCATCAACTTAGCAAGCCTTATCATTTTGGAACGTATTTTCAGTCTTTTGGATATTGTAATCAAAATTGCAGTTACACCTGTTTACCAAAATCGACACATCATATAATAAAGATTTTAAAAATTATTTTCTCTGAGAGGAATAATATAGTTCGTACTCATATATATGAGTACGAACTATATTTTATTATATATATATATATATATATATATATATATATAAAATAAAATAGTATGTATATATAATATGCATATATATGCATATTATATATATAGTATGTATATATATACATACTATTTTATTATCTGTCTTTATATCAGACTGTAAAAAAAGAACAGGCACCTTACAACTGTCACAGGAAGTAAGTTCCAGGAAGCAGGGATCACTTCTGTTTAGTTCACATTTACATCCTTGAGTTTAACATGGAGGCCGCCTAGCTCCTAGAGTGTATTTACAGAAATTTAGTTGATGAGTCTGACTAGGGTGGTTCTATATCAGAGACCATATGTCATCATGGAATCATCCCAGAATTTTCCATAAAGAAAATATATGGCTCACATGAAGTCTATCTGAGTTCTTTGGTTTGTATTGCTGATGGGGCCACATTTTTAATTTTTTTATTTTCGAAGCTATTGATGTTCTCCTTTTGGAGGAGAATGGAGATGGCATTGATCTGGCATGATCAATTTTTCACAACCCCTAGGTGTGAGAGAGTTTTTAGATGTTTCCTGTTTGGGCTTTGATCTGTAGAGAAAGGCTATTTATAAACCAGACTTCAGCAGCAACCTTGTGAGGTCTCCTTTGTCCCTTTCATGTGAACTTCGATGACTTCATATTAGTCCCTAACCTCCATTTACTGAAGTACTTGGCCGAGCCATCTGACTCATCACCCTGTACAAGGACAGTGTGACTCACACCAATAAGCCGGAAGCAGGCCTGAATTGAGGCAAGGCCAGAGTCAGGACACAACTAATAGATGCTGGAAGTGTTGACGGAAACCACTCTTGCAGAGGAACAATGCGGGCTGAGCTTCAGTTGCCGGCTATGACATCATGACCGAGAGGTGAGCACTCCCTTGCATCAGATATTTTAATTGTTTGCTTTATAATTTTCTTTCAAAAATCCTGTTAACTGCTCATGCTTAGATGCTAGCAGTTCAATGATACTTGTTTGAAGAATTCTGCCAGGATTAGGGTTATAATCTCAAATCCCCTTCCTTGCATTCTTTCTTAGTCCCTCCCTCCCTCCCTCCCTCCCTCCCTCCCTCTTTCTCTCTCTTCCTCCCTCCCTTTTTTCTTGCCTCCCTTCTTGCTTCTTTCTTTCCATCAGGGTGTCACAGTGAACGAGCTTGAGTTTGAGTCAGGCAGTTAGTTATTATCTAGAATCTTGATTGACTTGGCCATTTTCTTCTGAATCACTTTAACCTCTCTGAGGCTCGGTTTCCTACCTGTTAAAAGGCAGATAATACATCGCAGTGTTGTAGGGAGGCTTAAGTAATATCTTATGGATAGCTACTATTTATTAAACACCAAATAGATGCATTATCTAAAGTAGTCTTCACAGTAACTTTTCAAGAAAAGTGTGTGGTACATGGTGGGTGACATAAATAACAAGGTGGGGATCATCATACCTTTCACCTCCACAGTTGCTGCTACCAAAGTGAAACATGTCAGTCACTCACATAGTCATTCAACATGCATTCCTTGAGAAACTTCTATGTACCAGGTAATGTAGATTACTCAAGGGAAAAATGAAAGGCCAAGAATAAGGAAAAATTACTAACTTTGAAGGGTTATAATTAGCAGAGATTAGAAATAAACACAATCAAAACTGTGAAGAGTCCTGTGAGAATAAGAAATGCAGACTGGGTGTGGTAGGATGGGCCCTGGATTCCAATTTGGGAAGTTGAAAGAGGGTTCCCTGCAGGAAAAATCACACATTCACACTGAAAAAGGAAGGATAAATAAATGGGAATTAGAGGTTAGAGTGTGTTCTAGAGAACTGTATTTGCAAAAAGGTATTGGGTTGAGAGGGGCTTTGACTCAGGAGAGAAATCAAAAGTAGTTCTTTCTGGAATTTGAAGCGGTGAATGATGAGAGTAGAAGCTAGTGATACGCAGGACTTCCTGGTCACAGGAGGGTTAGGGACTCATCTCAGGGATGCCCTGTAGCTGTTACTGAGTTCTCAGTCTCTGTCCCTTATCTTAGTTCGGGGACAAGAGCCCTACTGTGCTGCTGACCACCTGAACCTCTGATATGAGTGGGCAGAGGGTGATGTGGCTAACCCCACCCTTGTGTAATCTCTTGCCTGTGTTCTTGGTTCTGAGAGACAAAGGCGTCTCTTGCTAGTTACGGGGCTGGATGTTGTGGCTCAGTTGGCTCTCTCTATCGTCCCTACCCTAATCTTGAGAAGTACTGAGCTATGGCTCCACGAGGTTCTCATTCAGGCTCCTTGTAGCCAGCACTGTACAGTCAGGAGTGCCCTCAGAGCAAGCTTCAGAATCTGTCAGCTCTCACACCACATGGCCTTCGGGAATCTCCATGCCATTAGAAAACCTGAGCAAGCCAGACTCTGTGACGTGATAGCCTAATTACCATTTCCCTTTTTTTTGGGAGTGGAGAGAGAAATGACATATAGATCAATGAGTGAGGTGGAAGACTGATTCATTTATTGACTCACAGAGAGTTTTTCCTTGAGCCAGTGCAACAGAAAGGACCATCCTTGTAGCTGGGTCTGCCCTGGAGTGTTGAGAAGTCTGAACTGTGCCCAAGGCTCAGAGACAGAAAAACAAAGAGGATGTTTAGCAACACGTCCCTCCATGCTCACCTTGCTCTTGTGCAGGCAGTCCAGAGATAATTAACTCTGAGGAAGGTGACCCTATATTCATTGTCCATGTGCAGACATTTTGAGAGTGAAAGGGGCTGCTTTTAATTGGTATATTGGGATGCCAGGCATAAACGGGGAATATTGTAGGCCAACCAGACATATGGTTGTCCTAACCACATGATTACCTAGTAGTCATTGGCCTGATGACTACTCCCTAGTTGGTGCTCTCTGTGCTTAAGGAGAGATCCTAGGGCCAAGATGTTTCTGGATCTTTTTTCTGCATCTATTTTTTTTTCTACATTCTCAAAGGCAGTTTTTGGAACATTCTTCATTTTTTTGAGATCCTTATGTTTCTGAGAGGTCAGTGTTAGCCAATTTAATCCAAGACAACTGATTTCTATTCAAAGCAGAGGAAGGGAGTGGTTAAAATGGACAGTTTGAAGGGAAGATAATTTCGAAAAGGACAACTTCAGCTGTATCTTCAGGCTCCTTATAATCCTTTGGTAATTAGAATGTGCAGGCTGAGACATCAATTTTAAAATCATCTTACCCATAAATCATCTATCACACATTATTAGCTCGGATGACACAAGTCTACATGAGTGGGGATCATTATTTTTGTTATTATTGTTTGTCCAGAGGGGTGACAAGGAAAAATATACATCACACTCACCTGCCAGACAAGAGTTAAGCAGGTGCTTTTTTGATTTATAAGGTGTTTCCTTCTAAACATATTTCTTAGTAAAACAATTTTTAAAATGTCATTTTCCCATGAAGCCAACACCATCACTGATGTAGTATTTTCCTGCACCTCAAATTAAGCAGGCCGTGGGAGAATTTGGTGACCAAGTGTCACTGTCACTTAGCATTTCTCTCTCCATTACAGTGTAATATAATATAGTGTAGTATCGTATCGTATCATATCATATCATAACATTTTTAGCATTCTGTAGCAGAGACTCTCAGTTTAGGGTGGTTTTGCTCTCAGTGGACTTTGATCATGTTCCACACGGTTTTGCTCGCTCCCACAGGGGTGGGTGCTATTTGCATCTAGTTCTTAGGAGCCAGTGATATTGCTAAACATATTAGAAAGACACAGGACAGCTCCCCTCGCAAACAAATTAGTTACCTGGACATAAATGTCAATAATGCTGAACTTGAGAAACTCCTCTGTAACATCTTAATCCTTAATTTATTCATCCAACCATTATTTACTGAGACCCCACTATGTCCCAGTCGTTAGAAAGCTGAGGATATTGGGGTGAACAAAACTGGAGAAAAAGTTTTCACTTTTGTTTTTCTTTGGATTCTAATAGGAGGAGCAGGTAAGAAAGAAGATAAATAACTAAAATATTGAGCATATCAGAAAGTTATGTGTAGAAGGCAAAATAAAAAATATAGCTGAGCAGTGGGGAGGGAATGTCAGTAGAGAACAGTGAGATTGAAGGCTGAGGTCACTAGCCAAGGTAAGTGCATTTCTCACTGATTGCAGATGAAGGATCTGAGTGAAGGACTGAGAGATAAGGCTAGGACTCCAGGTTGGAAGTTTCTGACTCTTTGGTGATCGAAAATGTTATTTCCACTAGGCTGTTTTATATATTATTGCCAAAAGCCAGGGTTGTCCTTGCTTCCTTTTGATGAATTTCCTCTTTCTTAACTCACTGATAACCACCTCCAGCCCTACCCAAAGCCTTCATTTCTAGCATCTATGCTTTTGTTGCTCAGAACATTTCTGGACTGTATCCTCGTCCTAGACTCATTACCATCATTAAATGCACTCAACTCAATGCTCTCTTCTGTTGAAACAAGAAAAACAAAATAGAGCTGGGGATGTAGCTCAATGGTAGAGCACAACCCAGCATGTTGTGGCTCTGGATTCTATCTCCATCCCTGAAAAAAAAAAAAAGACAACAATAACAACAACAACAAAACATAAAAATGAAAAGAAAAAGTCCCAAAGCCCCAATCTTAACCCTAAATGCTGCTCTGGCCTCATTTCTCCTTCCTTTCATAGGTAAGTATAAAAAGATGCTCCAACACATCGCATGAAAAAATGCTCAACATCTCTAGCAATTAGAGAACTGCAAATTAAAACTACACTGAGATTTCATCTCACTCCAGTCAGAGTGGCAATTATCAAGGATATAAGCAACAATAAATGTTGGTGAGGATGTGGGGAAAAGGCACACTCATACATTGCTGGTGGGACTGCAAATTGGTGCAACCACTATGGAGAACAGTATGGAGATTCCTCAGAAAACTTGGAATGAAACCACCATTTGACCCAGTCATCCCACTCCATGGCCTATACCCAAAGGACGTAAAATCAGCATACTATAGTGATGTAGCCACATCAATGTTTATAGCAGCGTAATTCACAATAGCTAAACTATGGAACCAACCTAGGTGCCCTTCAACAGATGAATGGATAAAGAAAATGTGGCATATATACACAATGGAATATTGCTTAACCTTAAAGAAGAATGAAGTTATGGCATTTGCTGGTAAATGAACGGAATTGGAGAATATTATGCTAAGTGAAATAAGTCAATCCCAAAAAACAAAACGCAGAATGTTTTCTCTGATATGCAGACGCTAACAGTAAGGAAGGCGGTAGGGAAAAATAGAAGTATTTGGATTAGACAAATGGGAATGAGGAGAAGGGAGGGGAAATGGGAACAGGTAATGTAGTAGAATGAATTGTACCTTGCTATCCTATGTGTGCATATGATCACACGACCAATGTAATTCTACATCATGTACAATCAGAAGAATGAGTTATACTCTATGATTGTATATGTCAAAATACATCCTACTGTCCTGTATAACCAGTAAGGACTAATAAAAAAGAAATATTCTCCATATGTGCTTTCTCCATTCTTTACATTCCCCAATTGACTTGTAACGTCCGTTGAGGTCACCAAGGACCCCATGAACTCCACCTGTGCAGGCTGTTTAATCGGTGGCTCTTTCTTCCTAGGTCCCTGGCCACAGCGATTTCTGCCCAGGCCCATTCTCTATTTGTATCTCACCTGCTTCCTCTCCCTTGACTTCCATCTCGTAGCTCTCTGGGGTTTCTGTCTTCCTCTGACTTCTCCTTCCAGGGAACCTTCATGGGTTCCTCTATCATTCCTTGACTCACAGGTGTCCCCCAGCATCCTGTCCTCTGCTTTCTTTTCTCATCAACTGCGGCTTGTACAAAAGTTTTGTTTAGAGAAATCCGAAGCCCTGTGACATAGTTTGTCATTTGCCTAGACACGGGTGTGATGTGTGAGCATGAGGACCATCTCTGAGGGGAATGCAGCAAAGTATCCACTATTTTCTCCCTTTACAGCTCAGGACCCTGCTCAGGGTCCACAATGCTACCCTCAGCTGGATGCTTGCCAGAGCACAGCAAGAGGATGGTAAGAGCTCTCTAATGGGTCTCTGTCGTCCCAATTGTAGCTCCTTCCTTTGCTCTTGAACCTGGTCATGACCCAGATTCCACCCCTTCATCTTTCATGACACAGCCCCCCTCCACTCATGTTTTCATGCTACTGCTCAGTTCCCTATCTGCCTGCACTTCCTCCCCTCCCCACCCCTGCTCCACACAGTTGACCTTGGGAAGTCCTTCTCATTCTGCAAGGCTTACCTCAAACATCACTTTTGTGTCCCTTTCTAGATTTCTAGAAAAAAATTTTTATCTCATATATATACTCCCATGCCACCCACATCCAATTAGGTTGTACATTCCTTTAGGGCATATAGAGGAAGACTCAAGAGCAAAGTTTCTGTCCCCAAGAAAGCTGATCCATGAAGCAAGTATTCACTGTTTTCTCATTTTATAGCTTCCATGATGCTCCAAAATCCAAATTTTAAAATGTCTGATACTAACTTGCTGTGTGACTCTGTATGTTTCACTTAATGTCTCTGAGCTATAATTTTATCAAACCATATTCTGGCAAATAATATTCTCATTCTAACTCAAAGAAATATATAAAATTCTTTGAGTGTTTGGCAAAAAGATGCCATAAACCAAAGACAAAATACATGATCATTCACTGAAGATTCTATGTAACATTTTTTATTGTCAGACATTTTGTTCAGATCCCAACAAAGTGTAACTGTTTCCAAAGAAAAATGTGACCTCTATGTATCTTTAAAATTTGAAGCCACTCATAACATAACAAAACTTTGCCACATAATTTTTTTTTCTTGTGCGTGAGATAGTCACTCATCTTTTTCTTCCCTTTGTTCCTAATTTTTTAAAAAAAAACTGAAGATTTGCCTTTTACTTCCTTTCCCTTTCTTTCCCCCCTAAAGGGAAAGCATTTCATGTCAGAGGCAGAAGTAGATAAAATTATGTGCTAGATCTTGATCTAAATTTCTCTTAAATCACCAGCAGCACTGTCACAGCCTGAAGAAAAGAAAGTGAAGCAATGATGACGGAGGAGTTTGAAGAAAAAAAGATGTAAAGACGAATGCTGGCTAACTTCATTTACTTCATTGTTCTAAATTTTAGGACTCAAATTAATTTCTAGAATATTTTGGTGAAATGGGAAAATGTAAATGTGTGCCAGTGAATAATTGTAAAAGAAAATAACACAAGGGGTGGAATTTTCTATCAGAATCTCACAAAAGTGGGCACTTTTGTTTCCTAGGGAAAACATCCATGAAACTAGCTTCATCCATGGAGAGAGAGAGAGAGAGAGAGAGAGAGAGAGAGAGAGAGAGAGAGAGAGAAAGAGAGAGAGAGAGAGAATATAGATTTACTGATTGCATACCTGTGCTATGTGTTCATCTAACTTACTTCATTTAATAGTTTAGTTCAATAGCTCTATGAAGCTTATTTTTTGTGCAAAACCAGCTAGAGTTCACTGCAGTTAGTGGTAAGTAGAGTCAAATGAGGAACCTATGGTTTTCTGGCTTCAACACCATACCACATTGATGTCTTATCATATAGAAAATAAGTGTCATGGCCTTATGCAATTTATAATCCAGAAAAGAAATCCAAATGTCTCTGTAAGATGCAGAGGTGGTGCCACATATTTTCCTTTAAATACTATAAAATAACTCCATGTATACAGTTATGAACAGTCAGCCACACTGTTGGGAGGACATTGTTTTGTTTCCCCTGGGCGGTGATGTAAAAATGGAGATGCTACTTTGCTAACTTTTTTTTTTTTTCCAGCAGACAGTGTAACATGTCACACGGATTCAACCTCTTCACTCGCTGTGCAAATTTGGTAAGATATTTTATTTATCTTAGGCTCAGTTTCCATTTGCAAATATGAGACAATGATCTTTTCCTTGTAGGCCTGCTCTAAGAACTTAAGAGTTACTTGGATTGTGCGTAGTCCTCAAAAAAAGGGTGGTTGTGATGGTTTGTGGCAGTCATTATTGACATGTATTTCCATGCATTTGGAGAACTTTGATGGGAGATCTGACTGTGACCCTTAATGGGGCTTCTTCTATATTCACTGACCAATGTTGCTTGTTATGGTTTGGATCTAGAAGTGTCCCCCAAAAGCTATGTGCTAGGAAACAGATCCGTGTTCAGAGGTGAAAAGATTGGGGAATGAGGCCTATAACTTCATCAGTGGATTAATCAACTTGATGGATTAGTGATTTGAATGAACTACAGGGTGATAACTGTAGGCAGGTGGGAATGGAAAGAAATAGGTCACTGGGGGCGTGCCTTTAGGCACTATATCTTGTCCCTGGCTCTGCATGCTCTCTCTCTCTCTCTCTCACTCTCTTTCTCTCTCTCCTTCCTGAGTGCCATGAACTGAGCAGTTTTTGGCCTCTACCACCCACTTCCACCATGATGTTCTGCCTCACCTCAAACCCAGAACAATGAAGATGACTGACCAAGGGCTGAATCTCTGAAACAGTAAGCCAAAATGATATTTTTCCTTTTCTAAATTGATCTTTTGTTGTTGTTGTTGGTACTGGAAATTAAATTCAGGGGTGTTCAACCACTAAGCCACATTCCTATCCCTATTTTGTATTTTACTTAGAGACAGGGTCTCAATGAGTTGTTTAGAGCCTCACTTTTGCTAAGGCTGGCTTTGAATTTGTAATCCTCCTGCCTCAGCCTTCTGAGTTGCTGAGATTACAGGTGTGCACCATGGTGCCTGAACTAAGATGTTCTTGTCAGGTATTTTGGTCACAGTAATGTAAAGCTGACTAACAGAGTGCTGGGCCGCATGATGTGTGCACCAAAGTGCTAAGTAATTGGGTATGTATAGAACAGATAGCAGGGAGGGGAGATAATGGAAAGAAGGAACCAAGAGTTCTTCTAAAAGAACAGCTCGCCATTGGTATTTGCTGGCTCTGTATCTGTAGATTCAACCAACTGCAGACCAAAAATATTGAAAGAAAAATTGTGTTTGACTGAACATGTACAGATTTTCCTTTTCATTATTCCCTAGACAATGAAGTATAACAACTATTCACATAACATATACATTATGTTAGATATTATAAGTAATCTGTGCAGATTATATGCAAATGCTGTTCCATTTTACATAAAGGACTTGAATATTGGGATCCTGGAACCAATCTACCTGATACCAAGGAGCAATGACCTTTGCAAAATCAAGCCAAGGAAATGGCAGGGATCTATGGAAAGGAAATGGGAAGGGGCTGGCATGAGACCTGAATTGTTTTTTTTTTTTTTTTTTTTCTTCTCTTAATTGAATAATTCCTGGACTACTGGTCACAGAATTCTCCTTCTGGGGAATTCTCTTTCAAAGAACTCGCCTTACAAACACAAATTACAAAATAATGGCATATGTTTTCTCTCCCTTATTTCATTCTTTAATGTAATACCTTTAAAGAAGAAGCTGTTTCACGTAAACCTGATTAACTCTGAAGAGAGTGATAATCCATCCAAACCAATCCAAATGAAGGTAAAAGGAATAATCAGGCTTCCATTATGCAAAATGGTGCTCAGTTAATTTATTACATTGCGCTGAATAATAAGCTGTTAGGCTCCACATGGCTTTTTTCACGTTAAATCAAATTGCTTATTGCTGCTAGAGCTTATTTCATATCGCATAAAATTTGGATATATTATAATGGAGTAGATATTAGTCCATTATAAGAGACAGGTTTAAGTGCTTCATTTATAGAATCCCTCCACTTGGAAAATGGTAAGGGAGAAGAAGAAATGCAAACAAGGTAATGGACAGAGGGGATTTATGTACATTGCTTGATGGGCCAGCTCTGCCTCGGTGACTGTGGTTGCTGTGCACAGGACCCAGTGCGTTGGAGAAAAATCAGCATTTCTAGTGGAAAGAAAATCCAAAGCGAATTTATGTTCTTTCTCAGGGAAGTGTTGACATTTTAATTACTTTCTGTTTTCTTTGGAGCTACATTTGAGAATTGGAAGCAAGTTAGAAAAATAAGAATTAGCTTTATTAGAAATAAGAGGAATTGACATGTAGACCCCAGTTGGAAAGGGTTGAGGCTGGGTTCTTGACAATATGAAGTCTGCAGCAGGACCCAGAAAGCCAAGAAAACTCAGCCGCTCGAAGCTAACTGGAAGAGTTCCTGCTTGGTCAGGGCTTATCATCCCGGAGAGCAGACTGTGCCTCTGTGTGCAATCTAATCTTTTCCGGATGTGCTTCACTTTTTAATGTTTTTTATTTTTCCTTTAAACTTTCGTCTTTCTGTAAACAGGGGTTTGTGAGGGTAAGTAAGATCGAGATACAAAAAAAGAAAATGGTCAGAGGGAGTTGGAATGAGCTGGGGAAATTGATAGTCTTAGAATTAATTTGGAAGATAATATAATTGTCTTTTGATATTTCATAAAAGAAAAATATCTGTGGAGGCGAGGGTGGAACGGAGTAATTGGCTTTAGGAGATATGATATATTTGCACTTTTCCTCCCTGCACCTGGAGTCGCCTGGAATTGATTAAATAAGTATTTAACAAACCAGGGCGCCTACATGTATGTTCCAGGATCAGCAATCTAAAAATAGTAACTCAGCACAAGATGGAAATTAAAAACCCTCTAATCAACATCTTTGTGGTGCTTGAAAGGGTGGTAACCTGAGGGTGTCAGCCCTGCCTGCCCCTTGCCTGCCCCCTCCCCAGTGTGGAAACACCATCAGGTTCAGACCAGCCAGTTCAGTAATGAACAGATAAATCGGGTCCCTTAAATAACCTAGTGTCTACTGCATGCCAGGTACTCTAAATATACTATTTAAATTTTCAGAAAATCTTACAATATGATGTTGTTTCTATAATAAATATTATTTGTTTTACTATCGAAACTGAGGCTTGGTCAGATAGAGACCATTTCTCAGTTATGTAAACTTTTATTCTAAAACATTTCAGACATATGCAAAAGAATATAAAGTATAATGAGCTGAAATTCCTTACTTCACCACTCAGGGATGGTCACATGCAACTGTACTGGTCCCACTCCATATATGACTTCATTCCATCACGTGCCTTCCAGTGTGTGTCTCTAAGAGGTGGGGATTCTCAAAAATAAAATAAACACAATACCTTTATCACACCTACAAACATTGCCAGTAAGTCTTCATTTCAGGAAATGTGTAGTCAGTTTGACCGTATATTCCCAATTGTTTTACAATCTACTAATTTAGGTTTAATCACAATCTATTAACTTTAGATCCAAGCCATACATTCTGATTGTTCGATTTGTCTCTCAAGGCTTCCTTTAATATATGTGTTCCCTTTTCATCTCCCATTTTTTCTTGGAATCACTCTTTGGTTGAAGAAATGAGATTGTTTTTCCAGGACAATTTCGAATAAGCTGGATTTTCTTGATTCCATTTCCTGAGGAATTCTCAAACATATTCATCATCTTGTCCTTTGTATTTCCTGTAAAATTACAGTTAGAGTTGGAGATTTTATCTGATTCTGGTTCCACATTTTGGTAATACTACTTCTTAAGTAGCGGTATTTCCGTAAATAGAAGTGTGTGTGTATGTGTGTGTGTGTGTGTGTGTGTGTGTGTGAGAGAGAGAGAGAGAGAGAGAGAGAGAGAGATTATCAACTCTTAAAAATTTTTATATGAATCCATTAATTCATTAGTTATAAAAATTGTTGATATCTTAATTTTATAATTTTTTTTAAAAATATATCTTAATTTTATAATTTTTTAAAAAAACCTTTATTTTCTAGAGCAGTTTTAGGTTCACAAGAAATTGAATGGAATGTAAGTAACATTCCCACATAATCCACTCCATATAAGCTCATTATCCCCCATGACCAGCATCACTCCCCAGAGTAGGGGCTTATTTATGAAAACCAATAAACCTGTATTGACCCATGCTTACCACCCAGAGTTGATATTTTCATTAAAGCTCACAATTGTACATTCTATGTGTTTTGACAAATATAGAATGATACATATCCACAAATGATTTTCTTTTCATTTATTGAATTTCCTCTATGGGGAGAAACTTCACCCCTCATTAACATTTGGTTAGCTGAAGTAAAAGAAATCCAGATGAATGTATTCTCATTATTATTATTATTTATTCTAGCACAGTCACTAGCAGAGGAAGGGGATACAATACACACGTCTTCATAAATTGAATTGTATTTGATTCATATTAGAATTTGCTCCAAAGAACTTGTACAAGACAAAGGAGGACACCATGGTATTAACAGAGACTAGAACTTAAGTTCCATGAAAAAGCTTAAAAAAGAATCAAATCTCAGTAAAGGCTCTCAGTACTAAAGTGAACACGGAGGCACTAGTGAATCACACAGTTCTGGTACGGCCCGTGGCCAAGTCTCATCAATATTCACCAAAGTATTCTTTCCCCAACACAGGGAAAGAAAGAAAGAAAGAAAAGAGGGACAATTTCTGAATCACTCCCTCCAACCACGGAAATGATTTTAATTACCAATTCATCTGTTGGCAGACTCTTCTGGCAGATGTACCTGCAAGTTGGAAAGATAACAAATGAACCAATTCCTTACTCCAGAGTTGACACTGATAGTTCGGACTGAATTTGCTCTCAGAAAAGAATCCTGGGCAACAATACATCTGGCACTCTGCTCGAGGAATTTGTCATGTCGTTGACATGTTCAGCCTCCATTGTCCATACCACCCCGACAGCAGGTCCTTTATGTTTCAGTGAAATTGCAGTCTGAATTAATATAATTAGAATGTAACTGCTATTCACTGCACACACACTCCTTATTTCCAGGAGTACAGATCTGATAGCATGTCTGTGCTCAAAATCTTTCCATGATGGCTGAAGGGGAGCAAGCAGAGAGGGGAATGATAGAACACTCACTAGTTCATCAACCGTATGAGCTAATGGAAATATAGGAGGAGAGAAAGAAAGTCCTGACCTTGGCATGTCTAAAGATAAATATTTGTCAAGTTTCCTAGCCTGGATAGCACTGTTATAAAATATGTACTATAGTCCGTCTGAATTGAGAGAAAGAAGTGAACTAGGAAAGACCAGTTATCTTCCAAAAGACAATTATAGTAAGTAGAGTGGATAATTCAGGGATAGAATTACAGAGTGAAGAGGTGGATGGACAACTTCCTTCTTTCTTTCATGTTTTGCTTTGAGCAGTGGATGTCGCTCACCAAGCAACTGTCATCAAGTGAATAATGATTTTTTTTTTTTTACTAGAATCTTGAATTTCAGCCTTCATTAATTTTCTGTTCTTACAAATTCTTGATATGGTAGAAAAGGACATCAACAACTTTCTTTTTTTTTTAAATAAGATGGACTCACATTTTCTTAATTGAGTTTGAGTTTTCACTTGGATGATCCATTGGAGGGGAGCACTGCCCTGACATTATCAGTATGTTGGCTGGAGTTCATGGTTTTGGCCTCTTTTCTTCTCTGGAGAACTGTGAAACTTGTGTACTGGATGCTGTGTTCC